CCCCCCCCACTTTCCCTCCCCCGTCTTATTTCTGTCGCGGAGTGAGCCGAGAGGAAACATGACACTGACGCCCCGCTGTTCCTATGAGACGATGAATCGGATTGGCATCCCACCCCGGCTGCGATTGGTCGAGCCCCGCGGGGGCCTGTGGTTGGCTGCCCGGGCGTGAGTCAACAGCCGTCAACAGCAACACTGTGTGCCCTGCTGCAGTCTCGCGCCATGCTCGCCGTCTCTGTCTTTAGGTATGTCGATCGGGTGTCTCCCTTTTGTCTCCATCGGGTGTCTCCCTTTTGTCTCCCCGGACGTCTGCCGTTATCAACGCCCGAGTGTCTCCCGGCGCTCTCTACCCGCGCCACACCCACACCTCGCTTGTATACCGGGCCACTTCCTGTCACCTCCCCGTCGACTTCCGGTGGCGGGATGGTAGCGGCAGCAGCGCTGTAGCGCCAGATCCCTCCACATTTAGGCCCCTCCGGGGGCGACAGCTGAACCCTTCGTGTCCCCTCCGGGCCCCGGGGACAGTGGAGGGAGGGTGGGGGGGTGCTCTTCCATAATGACTGAACGCACTGTGGAGGAGGCGCCTGTTTGAAATAGCACCGTGGCCTCCTGGCCTGGCGTGCAGCTGCACCAGCGGCTGGGACGAGCAGGCGGGGCGTTTTTGTCGCCGCGTGGTCCAGGGGCGACGGTGCGTTCCCCCATGCGCCCTGCCCCCTCCCTCCTCATTTGGGAGCCCCCCCGCAGGAGCAGAGAGGGTGTCGCTTTTGTGTCTGTCACGACGTACGACACGGCAACGGGTGAGGGGGGGGGGGAGGTTCCGAACAGAAACGGAAGTGGAAGAGAATAAATCTTGAGACAGCAGGGCGCAACGGCAGGGGCGCGCGCGCGCGCGTGTGTGTGTGCCTGTCTTATCGGAAGTGTATGGGGTGGAGCCTGGCGAGGTCGACGAGCAGCTCGGCGCGCCCCGCGCCCCGCCCCATCCCGGTGAGCTTCCTGTGGTCCCTGCCCTGCCGCTGGCCACTCCCCTGGCCGCCCCTCCCCCCCACCCCCACTCCGACTATTTTCAGACGGGCCAAAATAAACTGGCCGCAGAGCGGAGCCGAGGAGGGGCGGCGGCGGCGGCGCTGCGCCCGACTACCCCTTCTGGCCTACGTCGCCGTCGTTGCCCCGCCCCAGGCCGCGTGACACGGACGGTGTCGTCGTCGCGCCCAGCCCCGCGTCGGATATTTACGATCCGATGATAATGAGCGGAGGGTGTCCCGGGGTGTCCTGGCTGATGATGGCGGCGACGGCGCTGGCGCACTTGATGACTGATTTGCGGCGCCCGCGGCCCGGGCGAGCGGCAGGCGCGCGGCGGTGTCCGCTTTCACAACACCTCCCCGCGAGGCGCCGCGAGGTTGCCGAGGCCGCGGGGTGCTCCGAGCGTCCCCGGCGACGCTCCCCGGCTCTGGTTGTACAGCACGGCGCGGTGCTTTTACGCCCCGCTGTACGTATGCGCCGGCCGACCGCACCCCCGCCCGCCACCCCGCCACCGACCCCGCCGCCGGCCCGTCTGACGCTGACGTGAATGATGGCGTTGTTTTGGACCTGCTGCGGCTCGGTCTGCGCGCGGTCCTGCGCATTCCAGTTGGACGCGGTGGTTGCTCGCGTCGTCGTGGTGGTGTTGGTGTCGCACTCCACCGCAAAGGCGACCGACACCGACCGGATAGCGGCGGCGGCTGCGGCGGCATACGCGACGAGTCGGACGGCACGCCAAACTCGAACCGAAATAGCGTGTCGTGGTCGTCGCGGAGGGTTAGGCGCGGGTACAGGGGTCGCCTCGGCGGCCGCTCTCGCAGAGCCTGCCCGGCGGCGGACGGCCGGGTCCTCCGGTACAGCACGTGATTGATGTGGCCCTCCGGGCTTGTCTCCGTCGGTTGGTCCGGGTTGGTCCGGGTCCTGGGTCTCGGGCACGAGCCCGATTGGGAGGCTCCCCGGGGTCGCGCTCCGTCGTCCTCCTGTATTTGGCCGGGACGGGCGAAGTCGTTTTCACGAAATGAGATCGACCCCGCGCTTGTTTACAGCGCTTGCCCGGCTGCATGTGACGCGGTGCGTTTGAGCTGCGCTGGCAAGCGTCCTGGCAGATCGACAACAGCATGGCGTGGTCGCGCGGGGACTGCCCTGCCCTAGATCTCTCTCTCTCGCACACATGCGTCGTCTGTCGTCGTCGGCGTCCTGGGCTGCCGCTATGGGGCCGATGACTCCCGGGAGGACGACGACGACGGTGGCGCGGCGTTCTTGCAGCAGAACAAATACACTCTCGCTTTCCTCGCCATCGTGCTGCTGCCGCCGCCGCTGCTGCTGCTGCTGCGCACCAAGCCAAGCGTCGCGACGGCGGCCGACCGACGCCGAGGCGCTCCTGGCGTGGCACGGCGCGGGGCAGTGGACCAGAGTAATGGCGATTTCGGCCCAGAGCGCGGAACGGACGATTAGGATCTGTTGAGGAAGTGGAGGGAGCAGGCGAAGGTCGGGCGTATCTGGATGTCTTGCCGCCGCCGCGCCCCGCCGCGCCACGCCACCGTCCTCGCTTGCGTGCGCACCGCGGCGGCGGCCCCCCCGTGCAAAGCAGTGGCGGAAAGTGGATGTGGGTCACAGTAGCTGGTCTGGCACTCAGCTGTGCTGACCCCCCGCGGAGCCTCCTCGCCCGCCTCGGGGAAACGGAGGAGGGGGATAAATTTGATTTTAAGGGGCGCGCCGCGCTCGCTAGTGGGGGAGGAGAGGGGTAGGGGGAGG